CAAATTACCCTCCTAAAGTTCCTGAAATTACTGTCCTACCCAATCCCTTTCACTCTGCATTGAACCTTTCAACTCTAACCTATTCAAACCTACCAACTAACTAAGCTGAATCCAACAAACTACAATAGCTATAACCAATTCAACTTATCTAATTCAATCAGTAATTCAAACTAGAACTCAGGTCAGATCAAATAGCATAAAAATAAAGACCAATGCATTTGAACAAAATCACATTGAACTACCAAGGTCAAATTTCAGACCATGATTGACACAGATACATGGGAATGACTAACTATGTTCACAATTCTAAATCAAACAAAATGAATGAAACACTGTCACATACTGGATGAACATAACTGAATTTATATGTAAAATGATGAACAACAAAACAAACAAGGAATCAGACATCACAGAAAGTGAGATCATTTGAACTAGTAATACTAGTAACCAATTTACAAGACTAGACACAGTTTTTGTGCAAGAACATTATGGGCACTGACCCTTACAACCAAACTAACGGACAAACATACTCAATCGATTCAGCATATGCCAACCAACCATATGAGAAAAACTGGACTAGAAAAAGGTCCGAAAGAGAAGAGAGAAATAAATTAATAGATGATGAAATACCATGAAGCTTAAGCAGATAAATAACAACAAAAATAGAAAAGAAAAAGAAGAAAAATACCTCAAAATTACAGGCTAACTCCGAACAGTTCCCATTTTAGACTTCGACTCGAACTTTTGAGGTCCAAACGGACCTTAATCGAGTGTTCTCGACTGAAAACACTCGACTAAAGTCGATTAAGAACCTCAAATTTTCCCTTTACTCGGACAGGTTCCAGGTTTTGGCTCTCTAGGGTTCTTCAATTGATTTGAAACTCGACCAGTTCTAGCAAGATTCAAGCCAGACCAAGGGCGTTTTAGGCACGAGGGAGGTCAGGTGGATAGCTGGTGTGAGTTTGGGGTTCATTAGATGAACTAGGGTTTTGGGTCCTAAGCTTCGATCGAAGATTCGAAAAAACCGGGGATGATTCGAGGAAAACTGAGCGTGGGACTGGAACGAGGAAGTCTTGGGGAGGCTGTGGTGTGAATTTGGAGGCTATTGGACGAGATAGGGTTCCGGCCTGATTTTCGATCTAACATTCGAGGTACACGGCTGGGATTCTAGGGATAAGATTTAGGGATCCGGAATGGGGAGGTCGAGGGGAATCAGTGGTGAGAAGATAGGGTCGTTTGGACCACCGGAACCGTCGTGAGGCGATTTTCGGTAGGCAGAGCACGGTGGTTGAAGGCGGCGGATCTGTTTGGTCTCTGAAGCTCAGAGACGAATAGGTGAGGGGGGTATGGCTTTGGGGGCGTGGGGTAAGGGATTGGACTTATATACGGAGGGGGTGTTTTAATCCTGGCCGTTGGATCAAGCACGATCAACGGCCAGGATCAAGGAGATTAACCCATACGACGTCGTTTGGTTTAAGTAGGGGGTCGGTTTGAACCGGGTAACGGGTCAGGCTTGGTCCTTGGATGTGGGCATTGATCTGTGACCGTTGGATATGGCTTGATTGGATGGCTCAGATTTTTTGCCATTGAGACGACGTAGCTTGGTACCTATACTACGTCGTTTCACCATCCTGTGAGAGGAGCTGTCTGGACCGGGTTTGGGGTAAAATTTGGGCTCGATTTTTTGGTCCAAAATAATGGCCCAATCCGTTTTCACTCTTTTCTTTTTCCCTTTCATTTTCTTTTAATTCCTAAAAACCAAAATTCCTAAATTAAATGGTAAAACCAAGATTATTTTGAAACGATATTAATTAACCCTTAACAACAATTAACACACAAGATCAAACAAAAATAAAATCATACAATTAAATAATAAAATAATAAAATGACAAAGCTACCCAAAATTCATATTTTTGTGATTTTCATTCTTTAAGATAGGACATGGTTTAATTAACTCAAAAAATGCACAATTAAATCCTAAATATGCATGCAAAAAATGTATTTTTGGTATTTTTCAATTAATTAAAACAAGAAATAAACATGCACAGACAAAATACAAATAAATCACAAACAACACAAAACCATTTTATTTTGAATTTTTGGGAGTAGTTCTCATAGGGCAAAAATCACGTGCTCACAGTCATGAATGACGTGATAGTATATATAGCATGAGGAAGAATGCATCTCTATGCTTGTATGTCATATATGCATTTGAATGACACGTATCTCAGAGATGAAACATGTACTCATACTCTCAGAATACTCAATCTCATTACCTTGCATCCTCTCTTACTAAGCTCAATACTTAATACACTAAATCACTCAGCGTTGTATAATAACTGCTGCGGCGTGTAGCCCGATCCATATATATATATATAGTCGACTGCGCTCACTGGGGGTGTACAGACTCCGGAAGGGCTCCTACAGCCCAAGCGCTAGATCGTTGCGGTGTGCAACCCGGTCCATATATATATATATATACTCACAATCAGGCCCTCAGCCTCACTCAATCATCACTCTCTCCAGTCTCGCTCACGGGCTCAAAATGTCATGAAACTAGCCCGACAACAATGATATTATGTATCAACAACAACAGTTGAGACTGAGATACGATATGAATGCATGAATATGACTAAGTACAAAATATCAATGGAAATCAGTGAGATGACAGCAAGAAATAACCACTATAGGTACAAACAATTTCAACATAAAGCCTAAACATGATATTTAGCATGATTGACACCTCATATACTTTATCACATGACGAAAACAAAAATATCAACAAAATAGGGCCACTACACAGGGCCATGGGAACAATAGAGTCCCATTTCACAGGGTGCACGCCCATCACCTAGCATGTGCGTCACCTCAATACCAATCACATAACATGTAGTTCGGGGTTTCATACCTTCAGCATTAAGCTTAGAAGAGTTACTTATCTTAAACAAGCTAATTCTGACACCAAGCGATGCTCCAAGAATCCCATCACACACGTTTCAACCTCTGAATGGCTCGAAACTAATCAAAAATAACTCAAATACATCAAACAATGCTAAAAGAACTAATACCAATCAAAAAAGGTCGAATCTTTAATCAAAAGCCCAAAATCGGCCAAAAAGTCCAACCCGGGCCCGCACCTCGGAACTCAACAAAACTCACAAAATCTGTCAACCCATTCAATTACGAGTTCAACCAAACTAGTTTCACTCAAATCTGATTCCGAATCGGTGTTCAAAACTCAAAAATTCATATTATGAAACTTTAGGCCAAAACTCTCGATTTTTTCTTTAAAATTCATCAACCAAAAGCTAAAATCGAAGATAGATTCATGAAATATAGTCAAAACCGAGTAGAGAATATTTACCCCAATTCATATGCTGAAAAGTGCCTCGAAAAATTGCCCAATTCTGAGCTCCCCAACTCAAAATATGTTAAATGCATAAAACCTTCGTTTTAACATTGGTCTTCCTCGTTTCTTTTGCCCACAAAATCTCGAAACTCACTTTTGATACCTCTAATGGATTCCTTGTGAAATTCTAATCAAGTTAGGCTCTTGAATCATTCCATTTGACCTTATTGAAGGAGATATGTTGGTTTTAATATTTTAAAATAGTGCAGATTTTTAAATACGCAGTAGTGGCAATTTCGTAATTAATCTGGAAAAAAATCTGGCAATCCATTTCTTAGTAAAATGACCATAAAATCTTCTACGATGTCCAAATTTGATGATTCTTTTTGCTATGGCTACGTAATTATGATACGGATCTAATGCTTCAATAAAAACAGAAATATGAGCTCATTTGTTCAATGTGGTACCATTTATGCTTGAAGAAACGACGTCGAAACATAAGAAAAATGAGCGTAACACAACTCAAACCTATCCGAAACTCACCTGAGCCCCTCAAGACCCTGTCTAAACATACCAAAAAGTTCCATATCATATTACGGACCAACTCGAGGTCTCAAAACACACATAACAATATCGAAACGACGAAATGCACCTCAAATTAAACTTAATAAACTTCCAAACTTTCGACTTCCAAAAACTTACGCCGAAACATGTCAAATCAACTCCGAATAAACCCAAATTTTGCACACAAGTCCTAATACATCATACGGAGCTACTCATGCCACCAAACTGCTAAGCGAAGTGTAAATGTTCAAAACGAACGGTCACATCGTTACAGTATGTTATGAGTGGATTACGACGCAGATGATAATGGAGTTGACGACGATCGAGGCATAGATGATGAACCATCATGCTGACTAACATGATAAACCAGGGATGTATTCAATAATGAGCCACCAAGCTGACTAATATGAAAACCAGAAGAAGAAAATTGTATAGTAGGGCATTGAATTAAAGGTAGGGCCAGTATCATTTCATTGAAAAGCATAGAGTAATACTAAAGTGAGCTAGATGGGAGGGGGGAGAGATAGTAAAAAAAAAAAAGCAAGTGGCAATAAAGTTGACTGGGGAGGATGAGGAGAATGAGGTGGATGATTCATATTTGGTATAGTTGAGGTATTGTAACTTGTACTCAGCAAAGGATAATTTTTCTTTTCAAATTTACTCTTCGGAGGATTCGCTACCGTTAGACGCCATCTTTATAGTGTAAGCATGATAAATTATAAAATAAAAAAAGTATAATATATAAATAGGCCCTCAAACTTAGCCTTAGTTGGAAAGTATGTCTCCAACTTTGGTGTGCACAAGTAGACACCTCAGCTTGTATAAAGTTGAACGCGTAAACAGAAATGCTGACGTGACACATAAATTTTGGAGGTAGTATCTAGATCATTTTGTAAGTTGGAGTGTTCAATTGACAAAGTGGAGACAAGTTGAGGTGCCTACTTGTGCACACCCAAAGTTGAAGGGCATAATTGCCAGTTGAGGCCAAGTTTGAAGATCTATTTATGTATTATACCATAAAAAAACTCAACATGTATTCTACATATGAAATGATTAAAGGATAACATAAAACATTCAACATGTCATAAAAACATAAAACAATTCTTCGACATATTAGATAATTAAAAGAATAATATAAGAAGTTCAATATGTTACAAAACCCCAACAAATCAATCCTTATTACTTTTTTCATATTGATCATATAATTCTTCATCATTGCTTGCTTCATTTTCATCAAGTAACTCTTCCTTGTATGTTTCGTGTTCATCATTTGATCTTCATCCTTGTTTCTAATGGATGTTCCTTCTCCATACTTATGTTGATTTGATCCAAGGACAGAATGTTCAAATTCTTTATAGATACTTTTGCTATGCTGCAATTCATCTGCTAATTCATCTTCTACCATTTCTTCAACACTTGAAATGTCATTCTGGTATGCTACATCTAATGCATCCTCGATTTCCACTCGACCACGATATTTGTTTTTAAAAGTACCTATCATGCGAACTTATTCTTGCTCAAAAAGTAAGGTCTTGCACAAAAAGTAAGGAGCATAATAAACTTATTTGCATCTTGTGCAATGATAATGGATCATGAGTCCATATTCTCTTATGTGCTTAATTTTAACTATTTTATACCGATAATATACTTTTGTACCTCTAATAGGTGTTGGACCACACCACTTATATCAAAAGAGTACCAACTTTTTTTCGACCAACCAACACAATACTCGAGTTCTAAAATCTTCTGAAGCACACCATAATAATTAAAATTCCCGTCACCTTTCACCTAGACCGCACTAATATTGATTTTCATGCCCTTAAGATCATTCTTCTGTATGAAAATCGTACCCAGTGAAAGAGTACTTAATTATCTTTCTGACATTATGGTCACGTCACCAAGCTATAATTTGAGTGGAAAATTATACGGCGTAACGAATATTAGCCAACATAAATATGGTGTAGGAGAGACAACAAATGAAGTGAATCCATATGCACATAATCTCAACCTAATGTTTCTTGGTTTACATTTCAGATACTCCCTAACAAAATGCTTCCACGTTTCTCTATCTGACAGATGACGTAGAATATAAGGTGACCTTCTATGTTCAATGTGTCATTTCATATGAGGAGCAGAGCTCATTGATGCATATAACCTATTTAACTTAGATATAATGGGTAAGTAATGCATCATCCTAATTGAAATCATCTTCTTCCTATTGGCACTTATGACTTCCTTATAATAAGGCCGGTTACAACATATGTAATTCTCTAAAGTTTGCATTATCTTTATAGAATAGCATGCAACCTTTCTAACAACAATCAGTCCTCTCTGAAGAAAAACTTAGCTTGAAAATCAATTTTTTTGCCGTATGAAGATCTTTGGATAAGTTAGTTTTAATCGGATTAAGTTCATTGATAATCCAAATGATAGAATCCATACGCGCTTGAAAAATAAAACTATATGATATAACATTTAGTAATCTAATTGCAACACAAAAATTGGAACGCATTGAGCCTTCATACAGTGGATGACTACCTTTCTCTAACTATTCATAGAAGCGCTTAGCCTTATTATTTAATTCGGATTGAGGGAACATCCCTATTTTACGACCATAACCTATTTTACGATAAAACGGGTCCCACAGGTTACAATAATTACCAAGCAATCCAAACAACATCAATAATAATCATATTACGCCTCCCAAACAATCCACTAATCAACAACATTACTAACGAGCCTTTCGATAGATATCTCACAAGTTCTAGCTTCTACGACTTAGCCATAACTTGGATAAGCTTAAATACATGTAGAATGAGAGGTTCCTTACCTTTAAACAGATAAAACAACTCCAATTTGAGATTACTTCACCATGAAGTATCCTTCCAACGCAAACACAAGAACAAGGAAGCGAAACTAGCAAGCACTTCGGGTTTCTCGGCACTAGAATCACTTTGGAAGACTTGAAATAACCTAGGGTTGATATGAAAATCTTGGGAGAGTATTTTCCAGAACTTAAACCACTTAAAACAACCTACCATACAGGCTGGAACCACACTAAATCATGAACCATAAGAAGAACAAAAAAAACTCATTAGCGTCATGGGATTCCCGACACTTGATTTCTATTGTTTGTCATTTGTTTGGGTCTTGGATCATGAGAGAATTTTGAGAGAAGATTTTTAGGTGTCTAGGGTCTGAAGAGAGTAAAAAGAATGAGTGAAAATGGGATGTAGGCGTCATACACACACACACACACACATATATATATATGTCAAGATATCTCAACCGCCTAAGTGGGTCCTATAGGGAGCTGCTTGCGCAGTCTCGCAAAAATACAAATATCTCTTTACTCCGATATCGTATCGATGAACGATTTAATGTATTGAAAACTAGACTCGTAGATCTTCAATCTGTTGGGTAGATCACCCCGTAAATCCAAGTACATTGAGTGAAAAGCTCAGTAACTTTATACCTAAATTTTTAGTAAAATTATGAACGTAACTTGCGACAACTTTTGTCGACTTTTGTTTCATAACTCGCTTGGCTTCAAATGATAGTACACGACTATCATACGACTAAAATATCTCGTAAAATTACCTTCTTATCACCTTAAGTATCCTAGTCTCACCCCACAAGTACGAGTTATAACATACCCAACTTGTCGACTTTCGACCACACTTATTTTCTTCGATTCGATTAGCTTCTTAACCTTCCAAACCTCACGATACTTCCTTAAAAAAAATTAACCCATCATTATCTTTGTGTGGGGTGTAACTATTTACATAGTATTATACCAAATAAATTAATAAATAAGTTAATTTTTAATTGTTCCTATTTTAAAAGTTTACATAGCATTACGTCACACACTTAAATAAATAAATTAATTTCTTTGAAAGGTTTCTATTTTGAAATATATAAAGCATTATGCCACACACTTTCATAATATATCATGTTCTTTCAAAATAAAATCATCTGACTCTCAAAGTTCCATATTTATCCTAAAATATATGTATCTAATTATACTAGTTAAATCTAATTATGCTTGTATGTGCATAAAGTCCAAATATGGCTAATGACCGATCTAATTCACATAATTCATTTTAATCTAGCAAACTAAATGGGCAAAGCTCTGGCTAAGGGAAGAGAGGCAGAGCTACGGAGGGTTGGCTTCTCATTGTATATCAAGCCTTTCAAAAATACACTACCTAAGATGCTTCCGAGAGCGACACTAACCATTAAACTAGATTAGGTACTAAAAACAAATAAAGAGAAAAAAATTAGATGTTCTTTAAATCTAAATAGAAAATAGAAATTTTAGCAAGAAAGTCGAATTAGGTACTAAAACAAATAAAAAGAAAAAAAAAGTGCTTACCTCATTGTCGTTGTTGCTGGCGGAGTCCGCTGAAAATCTGCCAAGTTCCTCTTGAGTGTCATCGCCGCCTGTAACTAAAAAAGACACAAAAAACTAAAGGTAAGGTAAAAAAACAAAGCTATTGGTCGCTTGAAAGAGAGAGAGAGAGAGAAGGGAAAGAGAGGAAAGCGAGAGAGAGAGAGGGGAAAGAGGGAGAATGAAATAGATCAGAATTGGAGTTCACAAAATAAAATAAAATTTGTATTTTAAAATTGACCAACCGAATCGGTCGGTCAAGTAGCGCAGTTAATTTTTTAAAATTTTTGGTCAAAGAAAAAAGTTGACTTTCCTAACCGATCATCTCGGTCGGAAGCTAATTTACAGGTTTTCACGCGGACATTTCTGACTACTTTTGTCGAGAAGGTGATCGCATATTTCTAAAAAAAAAATGGCAAATTAAATGTGAACAAATTTCCAACCATGGTGGTCGAAAATGGCGTCCAAACTCGGACAATATTTTCTCGACCGGAATTATTAGTCAAAATTGCCTAATCTCGGGTAGTGCATAGAGGTCCATTCACAAAGTAAACAAAACATGAAGAGGAGGAAATGTCCAAAATAGTATATCCATTTCAAGTCCAAAACATGGTCCTTGATCTTCCAAAGCGAGCCAACACATCTGCTACCTTGTTTGCCTGCATGTATATATGCGATAAGGGAGGCAAATGACTTCTATTGAAGACTAAGGGTGTGTTTGGTATATCGGAAGATGTTTTCCGTGGAAAATGTTATCCAAGAAAATGTTTTCTTGAAAAACAAGTAGTAATTTTATTCATTTTTTTGTGTTTGGCACGCAAATTAAGGAAAATAACTTCTCAAGAGTATTCATAAATACTTTAGATATAATAAACATGAAGTCATAAACTTTCAAACCAACAACCTTCCGAATCCACAAATTTCATAAACTTTCGAACAACTAAACTTTTAAAATCACAGAATTTCGAACCCGTAAACTTTATAATTTTTAAACCCGTAAACTTCCAAACACATAAACCTCCANATATTGAGGGTGGGATGGAGGGGTAGTAAGGAGGGTGGTAACAGAAAAAGTAAAATTTGAAAAGAAAAAAAAAGCCTTTTTTGGAGAGGGGGTGACATGGGTTGGTGAGGGTGGGGAAGGTTGAGAAGGAGTTTTGGAAAGTGTTTTCCCTTCTCTTAATAAGGAAAACATTTTCCTCAAATTGGAGGAAAATGAGTTCTTAAGAAAAATATTTTTCAAAACATAAGCCAACCAAACATGGGAAAATTAAAAAATATTTTCCAGAAAATATTTTCCTTCGTACCAAACACATCCTAAGAGAAGACATTCTCTCCCTTGCGATGACAAATGGTTTCTATGAAAAATATTTTGTGGTAACGAAACATCAAAAATAACTTTCTCATAAAAAATATTTTCATGGAAAATGACTTTCGCCATACAACATACGCTTATTCTCATTTTCTTCATAATGCAATAATTCATGAAAGACAAATTAGATGATTATTTTGTACGATAAGAAGCATAATTTATTTAACTATGAAGTGATCCTTGATTGACTTAATTCTATTGGATCTTGAAGGAAAGTATTAAGACAACAACATTGAAAGTTCACATGCATTGCAACAAGTGTGAACTTGACCTAAAGAAGAGGCTACTCAAACACAAAGGTAAAAATCTATGCATAGTCCACCAAGATCTTTAGTTTTATAAGAGATAGTATTTTATTTCAATAATTTCAATTTCTATGTATGTTTTTTTTTATTGTGCAGGTATTCATAATGTGAAAATAGACTTTAAAGCTCAAACTATAACAGTTGAGACAGTCCTTGAGTCAGAAAAAGTTGTGACATATGTGCGAAAAAATTTCCGCAAACACGTAGAAATTATAAAGAAGAAAGAGGAGGAAAAAAAGGAAAAAGTTACAGTTGAAGTGAAAACCACAGAAAAAATTGTTGAACTTAATGAAGTGAAGAAAGTAGAAGCAAAAAATAAAGAGGGTGAAGTTTCATATTTTGTTCACTATGTATATGCCCCTCAGTGGTTCAGTGATGAAAATCCTAATGCTTGTTCTGTCATGTAGATGCATATGTCATGCAGGGATGCAGGGGACGGACATAGAGCACATATTTCTAGTGTATTTGTTATGGTAAACCAATTTAACTGTGGTAGAGGTTCGGACTCATACTTATAAAATTCAAATTATGTATCCGACATGAACTTCTTGCATATACTTAGCATTTAACGTGATATGTACAATGATGTGCGAACTAATTCTCTTTCATTGCACATGTCGTGTGTATAAGTAATTTCTTGATTCATTTCACATGTCAGGTTTTTGGTGTATGTTGTGATAAATCATATTCAAAGCAGATAAAATTTATCGAAACGTATAAAAATAAAGTAGATATGTAATGTTTAATTAGTTAGATATAGTCATGATAAATATTTTTTTTTTGTTAATTTGAATTGGTAATTAAAGAAATTATGAAAAATAGATAAAATAAGAAATGGTATTGAATTGGACAAGTTGAGTTAGGACTCATTGTCCAGCTCAAATTATCCCGTTCATCTTGACTCAACAGAATTTTGAACGGATTATAATCAGTGGCGGACTCAGAATTTTGTGCAAGCGGGTTCAATCGGAGAAGTCCATAACTAGTATAACCGGTATAAGGAACGAGAATCATGTTTTTTTGTCTTTATTGCTCACAACGTGATCTCGTAATAAAGTCCTCTTAAAGGCAGTGCTCTATACCTGTCACAATCCAGAATTCTCACCTTAGGGATTGTGATGGCGCCTAATATTTCACTTGCTAGGCAAGCCAACATTAGAATAATTTATCCATTTTTCAACAGTTTAAATTAAATAATGAGAAAGAACTGAAATAACTGTAATAAAGTGCGGAGGCTATAACAATTAAAATATCTGATACAACCCTGGACTCGGTATCACAAGTGCACGAGCTACTAGAATAGTACATCAAGGGTCTAAAATAAACATAAAGTTGTGTGAAGGAAAATAAACAGCTAAAAAGGAAAGGGGACTCTAGGAGCTGCGAACGCTGAGCAGTTGTACCTCAAGTCTCCACAAAGCTGGCCAATCCGAGCATGCTAATAACTGTCGCTAGGACCGACTCCAAAATTTGCACGAGAAGTGCAGAGTGTAGTATGAGTAACTGACCTCATGTACTCTGTAAGTGTCGAGCATAACCTCGACGAAGTAGTGACGAGGCTAAGGCAGACCACTTACACTACAACCTGTACGCAATATATAATAAAGACATGAGAAGAAAATACATAACGAAATAAGACAGTTAACTGAAGAAAATAGCTAAATCCTCAAAGAATGCCGATCAGAATTATCAAATCCTTAGAGTTCCGTATGAAAAATACCTAGAACCAATACAACACAAGGAAATAGAAACACGTAGGTTATCGCGGCGCGCAACTCGATCCCACCTTACAACATAATCCTCCCTTAATTCCCTCGTAATAATATCAACAATCATAAATAAATAAATACATGTTGCGGCGCAAACCCAAACCCACCATATAACAAAATCAGTATCATAATTCACCCTTATCTCACCGTATCAATCTACCCTTATTTCACCTGTTGCGGCGTGCAACCCGATCCTACCATATCAGTATAGATTCATCCTTATTCCAACATATCAATCCACCCTTATTTCACCTGTTGCGGCGTGCAATCCGATCCCACCATATCAGTACAAATATTCACTGAGTACAATTAAATCCATAATTCAAATCACAAGAACCTTTATGATTGGTGAATATAAAGTTAAATCAGAAAGGAAATCTTGTACCCACTTGAGAATTCACATATGTAATACTACACGGCAAGACAAGTTCAATAAATGACAATTAGCCAGGTGCAAGAAACTTAATTAAGGCAAGTAGTAGCGGGTCATGAAAGCATGAAAATATCTAACATCTTTAACAGGAGAAACAATGATTAACAAGTACTAACAAATAAAGCATGGAAGGCATTTAGAGTACATAACAGTTAAGGCAAGGAAATAGATAATTAAGGAAAAGCGAAAAATCCGAAAAAAAGCAATTCGACGGCGTATAAGCACTCGTCACCTTGCATATACGCCTCACGCATGAAATTCACATAGCACATAGTCAGATGATTCCTAATTCCCTCAAATCGAGGTTAAACTCAACACTTACCTCACTCCGCAGTTAACTCAGAGCTCTACCGAGGCCTTTCCCCTAGAATCTCCCTTTAAGTCACTCGTATCTAACCACAATTGACTCAATAATATCAAATATTGCTAAAGGAATCAATTACAATGCATAAATTTAGAATTTTCATACTTTTCCCAAAAAAGTCAAAAATCGACCCCGGGCATGCTTGGTCCAAACCCAAAATTCGGACCAAAATCCGATTACCCATTTACCCCCGAACCCAGTTATGTAATTTGTTTCAAAATCTGACCCAAATTTAAGGTCTAAATTCCAATTTTACAAAAATTCCTATTTCTACCCAAATCCCAAATTTCTACCATAAGTATTCTATATTTTAGGTGGAAATCTTATGAATTGTAATGGGTAATTGAAAGAAAGTAGGTTAGAATCACTTACCAACAAATTGGGGAAGAAAAGCTCTTGGAAATATCGCCTCTAAGATTTTCTAGTTTTAAAAATTTGAAAGAATGAACATAATCCCGTTTTTCCCTTCTTTTACCCAGCATTCCAACAGACTTGATGCACCAGCATTCTATTTAAGATTAAAAATCACTCCGTAGCTTATCCGAAACTCACCCGAGCCTTCGGGGCTCCAAATCAAATATGTACACAAGTCCAAAAATATCATACGAACTCGCTCGCGTGATTATATCGCCAAAATAACACCTAGATCTACGAATCGGACACCAAATCACATGAAATTTTCAAGAAAACTTTAGAACTTCTATTTTAACAACCGGACGTCCGAATTACATCAAACCAACTCCATTTCTCACCAAATTTAGTAGACATGTCATAAATATAGTAATAGACCTATACCAAATTCAGAAACCAAAATACAGACCCGGTATAAACAAAGTCAAACATCCATCAAATCTTTAAAGTCATTAAACCTTTAAACTTTAAACTTTTAATAAAAAGCGATAACTCGAGCTAGAGACCTCCGAAATCGATTACGGGTATACGCCCAGGTCCCAAATCATGATGCGGATCCATCGAGACCTTCAAAATATAGATCTGGGTCTGTTTACCTAAAACGTTGACCAAAGTCAACTCAAATAGATCTTTAAGGCAAAATTTCATGTTTTATCAACTTTTAACATAAAAGCCTTCCGGAAAAATACCCGGACTGCGCAGGCAAATCGATGAAGGATTAAAGAAGCTATTGGAGGCTTCAAAACATAGAATTAAGGTTTAAAACTCTAGATGAGCTATCGAGTCATCACATTCTCCTCCTCTAAAACAATCGTTCATCCTCGAACGGACATAGAAAAGTACCTGGGCTGGTAAAAAGGTGTGGATATGTGCTCCGCATGTCCGACTCGAACTCCCAAGTAGCTGCCTCGACTAGTTGACCTCTCTACTACACTCAAACTTAAGGATAACTCTTTGACCTCAACTGTCGAACATGCCGGGCTAGAATAGCTATCGGCTCCTCCTCATAAGTCAAATCTTTGTCCAACTGGACCGAGCTGAAATCTAACACATGGGACGGATCGCCATGATACTTGCGGAGCATGGACACATGGTGTAGACATGTGATTTTGACCCTCCCCAAGATTTTTTCATATTTTAGCACGTAAATATTTAATTTATGCATAATATAGCTATTTCAATTAATTTTGACTCTTTTACGTTATTTTATTACAAGAAAAATGAAAATCACAAAAATAGTCCCGTTCTCATTAGGATCTTAAAATAGGATTAATTTTTATCTCTCGGCTTTTCCTTATTTTGTGGTAGGATTAATTAATACTCTCCTGTTTAGTTTTTCTTGTAAGTTGAGATCTTTTTTGTTAGCTTGTTAGTCTTCTCTTTCGTTATGAATTTTTCTTACATTTTATCAAAAATTGAAAAGAAAACAAACCATATGTGCACATGCATATCATAAAATATGGGCAGACTTGCGTAACACAATTCACATGGGCAAAAGGTTTTTTATCCTATTCGTACACATATGCAGTTACCAAAATAGGAATATTTCTTGCTTATATTTATTTTTTTTGTCCCATATTTTTGGTATTTTGATCCGCATATACCCTTTCCATGGAAATATCTTCTCATTTACTCTATACATGCATAGGATTCCCTCACCCGTTCAATTTTTCCATCATCCTTATCCTTAGCTGGGTCTCACGCGTACATGACCCGACCCAAAAACCTTTTCTTGGTGGCCAAGAACACATATTATATGGAGTGTATAAATATCTTCTTTTTATACACAAGGGGATATCAAAAAGAGAGGATGAACCCTAGAGCCCTAAAGAAAAAAAAAGGCTGCGCAACAACTGATAAAAAACGCAACAGCAAGAGACGAAAAAAAACGACCCCCTCCCTAACGTTCATCTCCCTCGACAGGCCGCACCCCATTTTTGACCTCTGATTTCTCCAACTTCCTTAATTATCAGCAGCACCCCTACAAAGAAGATCCCCATGTCTCATCTGCCGGACCTCCTTTCACATAGAAGCAGACGAGCCTCACCCCATCTCACAAAACCCAACTTGATCATGTCACTCAAACACAGACGCACATGGATAGAGAAACGAAAAGAGGACAGAAAATAGAGAGAAGAAAGTTTATGGGAAACTTATGGTGTAGTTTTAGCGTTCATCCTTCACTGATTTTTATTCAAAAAGAAAAGTACAAATAAAAAAAAGAGGCGAAAAATTCAGTTGCTTCCATCTGGATTTCGTCCATTCTAGTTTTTTTGAGTTTTTTCGTTGAAGTCACTTCGTCGAGTTTTATCCGGTCAAAAGAGCTGAGTGTTTGGTTGAGGAGCTTATGTTAGCCCAAGTCGAGGTCGCCGATGAGGTTTCGATTAACGTCCAGTTGTCCGATCCGAAATCCTTTGATTCGAACAAATCTCATAACATAAATATTCAACAATAAAGGTCTGTTCTTCATCTACATATCCCAAATGCAATGTTATATTTGTTCTAGTTAGTTTGTTTAGATTGAATGCTTCGTTTGCTCTCGTTACTTAGCATCTCTGATGTTGTCCTTGCTTTGAACCCTTTGTTTCATTTGCATTGTACTTTGAATGCCTAGAAATGGTCCAGTTCTGTCTCTCATTTACAACTCTATTTCATTTCTCTATGAT